GCCCCGTTAAATTGAATTTCGCGAGTGCACACACTTCCGGCGCGGATGGTTGTTTGAAATACGCGGGTTCCAGCGGCCGGGAGAGATTTATCGGCGCGCCGATTCGGCCCGTTAATAAAACGCAACTTTAACTGCCTTCCCGCGTTGGTTTCATTAAAAATTTAAATGGGCCGTGGACAAGCTGAAAATTTACTTATGCATACACGGGAAGGCCGCGCGCGCGGCCGTAAATCACGGCCGGTGGCTTTTAGCGTTCGGCGAAAACAAAACTTGTCCGACTCGATTCGATGCCGATCAATCAGAGCCCGTCGACTGGGTCAGTCGTAACGCTCGCTTAACGCGCGCGCATTTCGCGAAGCTTTCCGGATACCTGCGTAAGGAACGTCGAAGACACCGCTGTGCCTAATGAATATTCTAGACGTCCGCGCGGTGTCTTAATTATCATTGAGTTTGCGAAACAAATGGTCTTTCACACCTCGACTTAGAAGGCTCCTCTATGACATACTTAGCTAGACTTTATCGCGACGAGAGTCGCGAATCCTGAACTCGGAATTTCGAGAGCTGCAATTAGACGGATGCTTTAACTACGTAATATTTCAATTTCACGGTCTTTATTCCCATTCATAATTCACTTTGGAAAATAGATTTGACGGAATAAACTGAACAAAATTGAACTTTTAACGCGTTTAACCTCGTTCACTTCAGCGCGAGTAGTGCGCGGTTAATATTGGAAGTTACGCGAATAACGTGTTAAATCAAATAGGATTTTCAAGTTATTTCAAAGCTTTTATTCCTAGAGATTCTAGGAACGAAGATAACGAACAGACAGTTCTAACTCTAATGGACAACGACAAGGGGACAGGTACATTCTAGTAAAAATGAATAATGAAAGTATTTCATTTCGCGCGTGTCTTTCGCGAGTAACCGCTAAAATATGTATCGAGATGAAAACGAAAGACCATCGATTCGAAGTTCGGCGCAAGCAAAGCCGCGTTCAAATATTTAAATCGGCTCCGGGGCTCGAAGTTGAAACCGGCGCCATCAGTTTCACTGTCGGCTTTAACGTGATTACGAAGTTGCCGCAGTTTACTCGGCCGCGCTCGAACAACAGCAGTGAGTGTATAACGCGGCTGAATATAATCGGACAGGATTCCCTGGCGCGGCTGATAACAGCCGGTGGTCCGCCTGTAGAAAGGCGGACGGACGGACGGACGGACGCGGATGGGCGCGAAAAACCGGCGTCGATCAATTAATTGAAACGATACCGGGCCGGTCTCCAGCGTCGCGGGATCGATAGGGGTGAAAGGGCGAGCCGGAAGAGCCATCGAGCCGGACAGAGTCAATACAACTCCGGGGCAAGTCAGCCTCTTAGGAAATCACGACGATAAATACGCGAACGAGCGGAGAAAACAGGAGGAAACCAGTTTGTTATGGAAATAAAGGACTGCGTGTGTTCGGCCGGCTCTTTTTCTTCGACGATAACCTCTGGTTTGCCTTTTCTTTTAGTTCCTCCGTCGTTTATTGCGTGTTCCATCGATTAGCCACTTGTGTTGCAAATAAAAGTGTGTAAATAATAAAAAGCGTGTTAACACTAACAGTTACGAACGTTCGTAAAGCGGAGTTAGCTGGTTTCACTTGCGAATGACTGAAATATTGTTCTTTTGAATTGAAATTAACATGTTGAATGCCGTGAAGGTCACCGGTGACTCGATTAAATGATTTGAAAATGTTTCTATATTATAAGTGATGCTATCTAATGCGTGACATCCAGCTAGATAATCGTGTGATAATAATGCAATTCGATCAGATGATTTGATATCACATTGTTCCCATTTTGCGTTTTGCTCTATGAAATCGTATTTGGCGTGTTAACCCTTTGAACTCTGTAGGCTCCAATATTGCACCAGTTATAATATTAAATACTTTATGGAATCTTAAAGAAACTACCCTAAAATTATTAGATCTTCCGCACATCGAAATTTTGTACTAAGGAAAATAAAAGATCGAAGAAATGTTACAGCATTTCTCATTATTGCTAGGAATACCGTAAAAATTAGTTGCAGTTGCTTACAAAACCATCTGCAGTGCTAAGGGTTGAATGTCATTTTTCTGTCATGTTAATTCTTCAGGTAATTGTAGCGTAGAATAGCTTTTTATTTCTGGTAGACAGTTAACAAAGCAACTAATTCCGAGGAACTACAGTTGTAGAAGGAATTACGGAGCAAGGGGTTAAACCACGGTTTATCTTTGTCGTCCGTGATTCGGGCGTGCAGGATGTAGGAGGAGCAACGGTCAAGAACGAGCGGACCGGAAGAGATCGTGTCCAAGGTGGAAAAGAGTAGAATTCTCTCGCGAGACTGACAATGAAAGGAAACGAGCAGCGATGTACGTGACCGCGGGCGGGAGGGAAACTCGTGGACCAAGCGCACCCCCGCTGCGAACGGGATCGATGCTCCCGCAACTGGTTGCTACAATGAAGACGCTTAATTTCTGGAGTCAGACTGGAGCGAACAGTACACAATGCGAAGCTGCTTCCGTGATAGGACACTAGAGGCTAGAATGATGTGTGGATGCGCGGCAGAAGCGATGAGTTTCCTGGGCCAGCTACTGAACTCTGCAAATCCTCGTTTAGACTCGTAGATATTTAAATGTTTCTTTTTAAACTAGTTTCCCTTGAACCGTTGCTTCACAGTGACTTAACGAAGCTACGTTATAACCTACATTCACCGTGTTAAAGGATTGTGAAGCTAGAATTTCCATAACACGTGGTAATTTCATGCGAGCATTTGCGATTATTCATGTCACAGTTGTCCAGATGAATATAGAAATCGGTGACAGATTGAGTAACTGCGGAAATCGTTGTTTCACTAGCTACCTAGCAGCTGATAGGATAGGAGTAGATAAGAATCCAGCAGCGCTAGATTCCTTTCAACTCTTCGTAATCGTTGAATTAGCCCTGTCTCTCGGAGTCGGAACGAGTCGAGCAAGCTGGGAAACAGACGGCTCGCGGAAGAGGGTTGCGAAAGAAAGGCTGAACAAACTCGAGGGCGAGTAAGTGACCGAGTGTCTGCAGCGAACGACGCCTAGCCGACGTTGAACAGCTAAAGGCGAGTATTTTGAGAGGGCGAGAAGTGGATCGAACGATACGTAATAGCGGGAGATTGCATTGAAACGCAATCCAGACCGCGGATATAAATAAGGAGCGACTGGTGCATGGATGATATTGTCAATTCCTGGTAATGGTAGGTCGGATTTGCTCGCAGCTGACTCGGATGGCACGTCGAGAGTTCGAGGAGCTCGGAGCCCGTCGGTTTTCCTTGGCTCGAGGCTCTTTTCGTCACGGGTAAACGGATTTACTCGCGGCGGCGGCGGCTGCGGTTCGAGTGCATCTCGCCGATTGCTCGTTGAATCCCGATTCTTTTCTTCTCTGTTCGATTCAACCCTCGAGCGCATACACCCGGGCCGGGTTCTTTGAGGTGAACCAGGACGGTTGTTAATCAAACAGACTCGGTGCTCCGTGTTGTATGAATAAACATCGGACAATCCCACGGATTCCTGGAATCGCTTGACCGGTGTTGATTAAAATGGACAAGATTTCCGCGAGGTTCAACTCCCGAAACCGAACACTCCGCGCGAAAAGAAAAGGATGCGAGTGCTTAACACGGACACCCGTTTACTTTCACGGCTGATTTATGGCCGCTCCTGGATCCACGCGGAACTTGTCCTAACGGTGAACGTTCCGGCAATAAATTTCACGGCGATATTCAGTTTATGAGTAATTAGGAGCGTTACTCAATCCCCCGAGAAAATACAGTGTTGGCAAATTGCAACGATACACGCAGATGCGAGTAATTCGTTGCGAATACTCAACCGGACTGCACGACGTGCACCTGCGGGTATTTATCCCCACCTTGTCTTGCCGCGCGTTCAGCGACGTTCGGTTTATTATTTAGCTCGGCTGCCTGTCTGAAATATTAACCGTGTACAGTCGTTAAACATTCAAATCGGGAAGTCCATAATTAAAACGCTCTAGTCCGAGGATGTTAAACCTACGAGGTCCACGTTAATAAATTAAAGAATCAACTCCCCGTTGCGCGGAGATTGAACGAGAAAGAGCCCTGTGAAGTACAGGAGACAAGGGATCTGTTCGAATGAAATCCCGCAAACCGGCGGGTCCAAGTGTCGGGCGGAACTTTGTGAAAATGACGTCGCCGCTGGCATCAGCGGACAATTAAATTATCGTCGGAGCAGAGTAGATAACGATGCACTCGAGGTACAACATAAACCACGAGTTACGTTGCCCGGATTATATGTATACGTAACGAGCACATAGGTGTTTTAGTTCCCCACTCGCGATAAGTGTACCTATGTAGGGGGTCAGATTACGGGGTGGAGACACCCCCCCAGAGGATTCCTTCGTGGCTCCACCTGGGAAACCATGATCCAAGTGTATCCGTGATTCGTGCCATCGGTAAAGAAGATCGTCGACTCTCGCGGCAACTCGCGCGGTAGGATCAACGCTAAACCTACCGGACGAGTCAGAATGATCTGATTTCTTCTTTTTCCAATTATTCGACGGACAAGATATTTCTCTGAGAATTTATTGAAATCTATTTAGCAGCAAACTGAATTCTAAATGAATTAAAGTTTCGACGTACCCTTCAAGTTGCTATAGAATTTCAAACAGTCAGTTTAACCGTTTGGATGCTGAAGAACTTTCGTGGATATTCACCAAAAATGCGGAAGTGTATGCAAAAGAATTAATAAGAGTAGTTATCTAGAGATCACAAGTATTGTGTTGTTACAAGAAAATATCTAAAAACATTTATTCGAATAAATTTGATTTATTTCTTGAGAATCATAGCAAGAAAATTCTAATTGATACTCTCCGCAATTTTGGCACAACACGACTCGGCACTCAAACGGTTAACTGTAGGTTTAATGTTGAGTCGGATGTTGGTAAAGGTTTTCCAGTAAAAAGTGTCTTCATCTAATTGTAGGACGAGGTGCTGACGATATCCGAGAAGGTAGTGGTCCGGGTTCACGATCTCGTCACGTGGTTGTCGCCGACGTTAGAATGGTCATGGGGTCGAGAAGTCTCTTACCCGCCGACTCCTACATCATCCCCCGAGAGCAGCCCGTTGAGGTACGAGATACCGCAGCCCCAGGTGCTCACCGACCCCGGAATCGATTTTTCCGACGTCGATAAGCAACAGAAGGAGTATGAGAGCAACCACAACACGAGGAGGACAGAGTACGGCGCCCAGACGAAAGTGGTGGTGCTCTCGTACCCCAGGTACTGTCGATACCGGGCACTCCTGCGTAGGCTCGAAGGAGCCGAACCGTCCTGGCTCTGCTCGTCCATCGCGGCAGCGCTGGGGGGATTCACCGCCACACCGGGCACCAGGGTACTCTTCTGCAGGGACACCTTCGACTATCCGGACCTCGAGACACACGAGCTGCTCTGTAACCATTTAGGTAAGTACAGTTACCGATCGAGCAGTTTTCACTTGGGGTAGGACGGGGATGCCCTGTAGGGCCTGCTGACAGAGGCTTATTTCCTGCGGTAGTTTTGTCGAGATCGAAGGACTCTTTTGAGTGTATCATACGCGACAGTTTGGAATACAGTGGCATTGCTCGCTAATTACATAGGGAGATCTGTGAATTAATAATCAGCCCTTTAGGCGAGGCGATTACCGACCGAGTTGTCTGAAAACGGGGATTCCCTGTAGAACATGGGGTAGATTAGATTCTTATTAACCGTTAATAGATACATCTTTCTACGAATTGTGTAGGTTCTTCAATCTTCGTTAGAGTTTTTCATTCTGTGGGTTTCTGTGATTCATTTGTTTACAACGAGTGAATGTTAACCGTTTGAGTGCTGAGGAGGTGTTGTGCCAAAATTGCGGAGAGCGCGGAGGCGCTTGTTTATTAGTATCAATTATAATTTTCTTAGTATGATTCTCAAGAAATAAATCAAAGTAAATTTATTTGAATAAATGTTATTTTTTGATATTTTTTTGTAATAACACAATATTTGTGATTTCGTTAGATAAGTACTCTTATCAATCTCTTTGCATACATCACTTCTGCATTTTTGGTAAATATCTACAAAAGTTGTTCAGCATCCAAACGGTTAAATATTCTTCAGATTATTTTACATCAAGAATATTGTACATAAAGTCTGCCAACTAGTTGAAATAATAAAATGTGTTCATACCAAAAATCACCTAGTTGAAAGCAATAAACAAAGTGCTGTATTTTTCGGAATGTAACACGTGTGCAGTTAGGAAACAATTAAGCTCGGTCGTCAGTGGTACGTAATCGATCCAGTGGGACCATTTACCGACAGAGGGACCCATTGCGATCGCGCTGCACAATCACGAGAGCCCGGCCCATCAGGGCAATTTAAAAAACAACGGAACGCCGCGAAGGACGGCGTGCAACAGGGCAACGTGTCGGAAGATTTCGGTCGGCCGCGGCTTTCGTATTGGACGGTTTTATTGTTGCCGGGCGGTGTTTCGTAACTAGAGAAGCGACGATCGTAATCCGGATTAAAACGACCGGAAACAAACGGACGTCTGTGTCTAATTTTAGATTGAAACGTGTTTTGCGGTTTATCGTGCTTCTCTCCAAGTGCGTTTTGTTTTAAAACATCGTCACACCTTCGCGACACGTGCGCAGTTAATTCGATTGTATCCCGTGACATTGGTGGCGTAAAGTATGGCCATTTTAATGAGAATCAGGGAAAACAAGATCGTATATTTTAAAGTGATCGGTGAGTGAAAATCGTCTTCGGTTCCTGTAGTCTCTGTGACGATAACGTGCCAATTGCCTCGCCGAGATTTCACTACCGGGACAACACGTGCACATGGTCTAGATGCGCACGTGGTCAGGACCGCGTCAGCAGTTGTCACGTCATAGATCGGCGATTGCACATTGTAGCCGAATTTACGGTATAGAATATCAATCGGGAATTTTTCACCGGCAGTGTTTGATTGTGGTGCATTTATTACCGCGTGCCGTGCGAGTTTGTAGAATCGACAGTTCAGCGATCGGGATTGATGCGTAGTTGTGAAACAAACGACACACTCAGTCGGATTTTACAAAGCGATCCGTTATTCTGCCGGCGCGTTAGAGTCACCGCGTACACGTTACATTGTGTTACAATGTCACGCAGCTGGAAGTGGTCGTTAATAAAAATTACCAGCCGCGAACTGTCGTTGCATCTCGCTATTAATCGACGTTCTGTAACTACGGAAATGTGTGCTGCATTGTCACGGTGGAAAACGTAATTCCCCTAACAAAGTTCCTCGACGACCGTGTTTGTTTGTTGTCCGGCGATTGAACGTCTTTTTTTTTTGTGAAACGTGTCGGCCAAAAGTTTGCACGATCGAGCGCCGGTCGTTTTCCGTGGAAATAATTGGACATTCGCGGGACGAAACTTGGCGTTTTGTATAGGTACTTTCGCGTGTAATTACTGACTATTAGGGTGAATTAAAAGAAAAAATAACGTCACGCGATCGTGGACACTGTGTCCGCCGCCGCGGCGAAAAGGAAACCTTGCGCGAGACTCGAATTATCGTGTCATATGATACCGATGTCAACCGGTGAGCCAGTCACTTTGTACCGCCGCCGCGGCTAACAAACAGCCTACGAACCGTTTACGTCGGGAAAGAATAACGCGGACAGAAAACTCCAACGGGCTGCGCAATGGGTGGAAATATGTCGCGCGTACTTTTATCGTTATACAAATTACTTTTGTAAAAAGGTGGACTCAATGTATCTTTCGTTATCTAGGTCTAAAAATAGGCGAGCGGACGGTGGAAACACTGGGCACACGGTTGTTTTTATTCACGTGCCACTTAATCATTCAATTTTATGGTTTGTTCCGTTTGTCCATTGAGAAACTGCGTAGTACAGTGATTTCATTCATTGTTTTGAATTTGCGACTATGGATGGGACTTGATGTTTATTATTTTCGATGAAACTTCTTATTTTGTATAATTACGCTACATATTAAAATTATATGAAATATATATCGTAAGAAAATCTGAACGAAGAGAGCCTCGAGGTGTAATAAATGTCGAAAAAATTCAACCCTTAACCCTTTGCACTCGAGAGGGGACTCAGTCACCACTTGATATCATTTAGTAAAACTATAAAATTTTATATTCAATATTCAACTGTATATAATGCATCGATGTGTGAAATATTGGGATAGAAAGCTTTCTTTCTCAATTCACTTGTAATTTTTCTTTGAGTTAATTTAAAAAATATCGTCTGTCTAGTTAGAAAATATTAAATATCTCTAACGAGGTACTTCCGAGTGCAAAAGGTTGAAAGTTCTTTGAGATCTCGGAGGAATTGTCAATGTAATTTTCCATGTTTCGATTATGAGACTGTAAATGTGTAATTCGAATTTTCGATGATTTCCAGCACCTAAATTAAAAGGACGGCCGAGGAGGAAGCGTAAAAAGCGCAGCGCGTCGCCCGGCGAGTCGAGTAATGAGAGCGAGGCCTCGGTCGCGTCGACGTCGAAGAGCGCGACGTCGAACGCAACCGGAAGCTTGGTGTCGAACGTCGGCAGGCCACCGTCGTCGGTGGTGCGCCGCAGCGAAAGGAACACCAGCGCGGAGGAGAAGAAATTCATCCTGGACGTGCAGAATTTCATGAACTCGCGGGGTACGCCTGTCGGAAAGATGCCACTGCTGGGCTACAGGCAGAGTCAGTATCTGTGCTTTTTTTTTCAACAATTGGCTGCGCCGTTTTTAGATGCGTCTTAGGCGACGGGGAGAGGTCTCCGCAGTTGGCAGCAACGATTCGAATTCAGGAACCCTTTCTAACGCGTACATCTATCGGGCAAAAAGAAAAAATTGGAAAAGTTCCGAATGTTTCATTAAGCTGAATGCAATCTCGATCCTGTTTCGATGAATTTCAAATTGTTTAAGATATGAGAACACACGTAGATCATGATTTTTCGACCCAGGCTAGGTGTATCCCTGCGAAATCGATGACACCACTGAAACGACCCCTCTTTATCAGTCCTAGAATTTTTAATTCTGATTTGTTAATTTACTGTCCATTGAATTAAAACAGTGATTGGTACTGTTCGAAGCTGATATACAGCAGTGTTTCCTTTTGACAAGTCCAGTTTTAATTAAAGTTCGTCAGTCCTATCGTGTTCGATTAAAGAGGATCATTTTACTTCCAGTCGATCTCTTCCTGTTTTATACGAAAGTGCAAATGCTTGGCGGCTACGACTCTGTCAGCGCTGGTCGGCTGTGGAAGACCATCTACGACGACATAGGTGGTAACACGGGGTCTACCAGTGCTGCCACCATCACCCGTCGTCATTACGAAAGGTACGGTTACTTGAAATAGTGTTAATCGCGTTATGTAGGAGTATATGTATCAATCGTATCGTGTTTCCAGGTTACTGTTGCCTTACGAAAGGTACCAGAGGGGCGAGGAAGCAAAAGTGAGACTGAACCATGGAAGACGCACCAAGTCCAGTAGCGTGTCCGAAGAGTCCGAAGAAATCAAGCAAGAAACCAATGATCCGTATCCGTCGGAAACGCCGCCGCCTGTAGAAACGAGTCTTACTACCACGACGCCTCCGTTACAACCAATTATTGCGACCACGGTAAACATTACCAACAATTTATTACCTCTGCTACAGTCTGGTTTAAGTCTCAATCACCTACAGCTCTTAATTCAGACGTGCATTTGAAACAATCTTGACACGTTGAATGCCGCACGATATAGCCTTAATTTATTGAAATTATGCACTTTAATGCTCGGGTCCGAACGTGTTAAGTCATTTGATGGAACTGCATTATTATTATGGCAGGTTCACCTAGCTGAATGTCACCGCATTAAACAGCATTATTTATAATATAGGAATCTTTTCAAATAATCATAGTTCAACCGAGTGAACTATAATCCGATTCGGTTGGTCACCGATGACCCCCGCGGCATTCAACGCGTTGGAAGAACGATCAAGTAGTGATTGTCCTGTGACGCGAATTAGATTTAAAAAGACACCCCTGAGAAATGAATACCTTACTGATTGCATTAATCTCCACAGCCGTTCCTCCCTGGCGAGAAGCCGAAGACGGAGACGGGGAAGACGTCGTCCCTGCGCAGCGTGCGGGTGAAACCTGAACGCCTCAAGTCGCTGAACACGATGATCGCGAACAGCACGACGCCGTCGCCCAGCCAGCAAGCCAGCCAACTGCCAAGTCCTCCGCCGTCATCGAACACGTCGATCTCGACGCCGAGCAGCACGCCGTCGACGACACCAACGAACGGCACGAGTAGCCAGAGCGTGCTGGAAAGGCAGCTGAACAGCCCGCTGATATCGCAGCAGGTCCCGCCAGCGTGTTCGCCGCCTGGACTGCCGGTGACCACGGTGGCGACGAACGCGACAACCGTAGTAACGCTGACGCCACCCCCGGAGAAGGACATGAAGGAGATCAAGCTGGACCCGAAGCAAACCACCCTGCTGGCACAGGGGAAAGAGAACATACCGTTGTTCGGCGAGAAGTCAATATTCGCGGAGAAGTCGATAGTGCCGCCTAGGTCACCCGAGGTGATCGACCTGGAGTCCGAGAGCGACACTAGTAGGGACAAGATAATCATTCCCAGCTTTAAGAAACGGAAGCTCGAGATCCTGCGCGAGGGTGGGCTCGAGGTCACTGCCGTGGACCTGGACACGCGGCCGAGCGTGATCCAGAGTAACCCGCCGGCGCCGGCCACGATGAAGACCGCCGAGGAGAAGCCGCCGATATCGTATCCCCTGCCGGTCACGCCGAACTCCATTCCGAAACTGATATCCGTCACCGTCACGCCGGACATCGGTCACATGCTGTCGTCGCCCCAGGATCATCAGCATCATCCCCATCACCAGGCTAGGCTGCCGGTACCTACCAAGCAACCGCCAGCTCATCACAACAATAATAATAACAATACTACGATGAATAACAATAACGTGGTGAACAGCCGTGTGATAAACCTGGGCACGTCGAACAACGCGGCGCTGTTGCAGCTGTACGCGAACGCGAACGTGCCGCCGCCGTCGTCGGTGATGCACCAGCCGAACCACCGTTTCGTGCCGCCCACGGTGCCGAACGGTAGGATATTCCCGCCTAGGGTGACGCAGTCGAGGTCGATATTCGCGCACAACGAAAAGACGGTTTACGGTGATCCGAAGGACATCCTGGTGCCCCCGAAGTACCGTCCCTCGCTGCACCGTTTGCAACCGCCCCACCATCACCACCACCATCATCCGCCGCATCATCCGATCGTGAATAATAACAACGACCTGGTGGCGCACGGCGGTGTCCTCGATCTGACACAGAAGTCCGCGGAGAAGCCGGTATTCCCAAGGCCGAGCCTAGAAATAGTTAAAGTACCTGTAGTGCCGAGGCCTAATCCGTTGAACCTGGAGATGAGGAACTCATCCGCGATCAAGGACAGACCGACCGACTGTTCGAAGCGGACGGCCGGCTATCCGGGCTATCAGAACGTGCTGGACAGCCGGACGATGGCGTCGAACAACCTAGAAATTACGATCGTGAATCCTAAACACAAGAGCAATCACTTGAGCCCGCCGGTCCGGGTGCCTAGCCCGCCGAATAGGAACAGTATCACGGCTAGCCAGAGGAGGCACCAGGCGAACGGCAAGTATACGACGACGAGGAGCGAGCCTGTCTCACCGTACACACCTAGGAAGCCAAGTAGTCATCCCGTGATACCGAACGTACCTAATCTAAATCACTTGAACAGCGGGAACTCGTATCCCAGGATGCAGTCGGCGATGCACCAACAGATCAGTATAGATAGGAGAAAAAACGTGGAAGCCGGCGGCAAGGAGCAACCACAACCACCACAGCCACAGCATCATCAGCACCAGCAGCGTCGGATCAGCGAGGGCGATAAGACGATGATCGCTCAACAACAACAGCAACAACAACAACAGCAGCAACATCAGCAGCAACAGCAGCAGCAACAGCAACAGCAGCAACAACAGCAACAAGATGTCAGGCAAACCGAAGCCGGGAGGCGGCATAGCGTCCCAAGTATACCCTCCGGTTTCGTGCCAGCGGTGCCGCAAAGTAATCCAGCCTTCCTCCCGCAACTGCCAACAAACACGCCCGGCAAGTTCCTACCAATTTTGGACCCGATGTACTATTCCGCGTTCTACAACGGTTTGTTCCCGCCGCCGATTCCGCCCACGGCCGCCGCGTCCTTTCTGCCGCCAGAGTTCAGCGCGTATTACAAAGAATTACTTGCTTCCTCGCAACCAAGACTGGGGATGGCGGGGCAGCACCAGCCGGCTGCCCCAACGTCTAAGTAGACAATGGGATCTCATACCGTATATAGAGTTTCCGACTGTAAGT